TAATTAATGCAAAATATTATTGTAAAAATGTTAATTTATATCTTATAGCGATGTTTAAATAATATTTCGAATGATTCTCAAAAGCTTAATAATAAAACATATATAAGCTTTATGACTTGAAGTTATAAATCTAGTTTTTCTTTAAAACTACAAAAATATGTAACTTTTTTTTTTATATTTTACTAATATATTTACCCAATATACGTTCTATGTCTTTTAGCATTATTTGAAGGAATAAATAGGCTTCTAAAATTTAAAACAAAATAAATTTTAATGTAACTCAATTTTTTTATGATTGTAACCGACGTGTCATATTGGTATTAGTTAATAAGTACATATGCAATAAGTATAAAAAATATGAAACATAAATAAGAGTTTTTACTTTCGTAAATTGGAAGAATTTGATGATCTGAAATTAAAACAAAAATCTTGTGTGCATAAAGAATATCAAACAACTGTGTGGAAACTCGTCCATTAAAAGCAAAGAAAAGCAATGATTACGCGGTATTTTGAGGACAATTTCCGTATATTCTGAAATTAACAACACATAAATTAATGATATTGTATTTACTTATCTATTCTATTGTAATCAGGAAGATGAATTTCAACGTAGGAAAAACATTTATATTAAAAACGATGAGTCTCTTTGGAAAATTCAAAAGGAAAGAAATATTGGATATATTTTTATAAAATTCAACAAAAACTATTACCGGGTACAGCGATCAAAAAATTAATTGTGTCTGAAATTGACATTACATAAATTAATGATATTGAATTGCATTTGTTATCATAAATAATTATTACATTAAATAATTATAATGTAAGAGTGTTGTAAGTATAACACACTTCAATTTCATAAACACATATTTCAGAAGCAGTTTTTATGTTATTCTCAAATATTTCTGTCTACTCTTGTCTTAAAATTTTTATTTTTCTTATAATTTATTATGATTACCAAAATTCCCGTAATTAAGGTCATTATTTATGTCATCAACCATTCTCTCAATCACATATTCCAATGCATCTAGAATAAACAAATGAAGATTTTGGCTATACTAAAATATTAAAATTAAAGCAAATTAGGTACTATACAAATGTTTAGAATAATATTAAACTCAGCTTTGTTCTGTACACTGTTCTACATATAACAAAGCTTCTATATATATATATATTAGTATATTTTTTAAATATAATATCTTACTTGCTCCAGATCTACCTCCTACAGTTAAATCATTCTTATTATAAGCAATTCCCATGGCTTCATCTGTGATACATAATTTAAAAAAATTATATTAAAAAAGTGGATTTTAAAAACTTTAAAACATTAATCTATAGAATAAAATGTTACTGACTTGTAACGAAAATATACTCCATATAAGTCACTGTAAAAAAGTGAAATATTAAATTTTTTTTCAAATTTTAATTACCTTATGATGATAACTGTGAAAATAAAATAATTACGCAAATCATGTGCCAAAACATCCACGGAGAAATAAAATATTAATAAACAGAAGAGTTTCATTTTTATCTGCGAAAAATAATAAATACAAATTTTTTTTTATAAAAGTCACAGTTGCCTCCGATTCAGAGAGCAGAAGGTTATGATAAATATATGCATAAACATTTTTTTACTAGACCCACAATATTTTCTAGACCGCTAAATTATTTTTTTGTATAAGAAGTTATTTCACTATAACGAAGATAGACAAAAATAAAAGGAAGTCTGTTAACTATTTAAAATGACCTTACTTTTAATTTGTATAAAAAAGTTAGGCTAAACTTGACTACCCATAATGTTTTTTAGTCAACCCGTAATGGTATTAATGTGAAACTATATTATGGATTTATAGTGGAAAGCAGATAAAATTTTGGTGTCGAATCCGTTTAAAAAAAATATTTTTATTATTAAAATTATAACCGTTTTTTTCAACAGTACACTAAAATTTAGTTAAAAATAAAATTCAAAAAAAATTTCGTCCAAGTCAAAAAAGAAATATAATTTAGATTATCTATCATAACTCATCAATAAAATCTTATTTTTGGATGGTATTAATTTCTGTTTAATTTACGAGTAAACATTTGTTTTTAGAGTTTGGTTTTAAAAACGTCAAAGATAAAATTTAAAATTTAATTTATACTAAAACAATTTTTTTCTTATGTTCAACTTAATTTTCAAAATGAATAATAAAGTTTTCTTTGATAATTGACTTTTTTTCACTTTAAAAAACACAAACGAAAAGATTTTATTTATATATTTGTACAGGGTGTTTTATTGACCCATATATATTACTTATTAGTTAAATATTACTAACGTTTATAGCCACTAGCTGTCGGCTGTTGTCTGTTATTTAACAATAACCTTTTATGGATATTTTAAAAATTGTGTTCTTTTTAATAATAGTTAAGGAGCAGTATCATAAAGTTAAACGTTCATGAGATTTGATCTAGTCATAAAATAAAGTATTATCATTCACGACTTTTAATTATTATTAAAATGAATCTTAATTTGAACATAATAATAAAATAATGAAATATTTTTTACAAAATATTTCAAACAAGTTGATAAACTGAAAAATTAAAATTGGCACGAAGCAGATTATCTAATATTAGATAATTCAAATAATCAAGCGTGAATCTCTTTAAATGAATAACAGTACAACAATATGCAAAATATTAGTGATCCTTTAAGAAAACTGTGCAATATGAAATACATTTTGGGGCGGTATACTGCATAAAAATCAACACTTAATCTGGATCCAAAAAAAAACAGTCCTCTTCATAATTTACAGGTAGTTGGACCTTATATACTCATAGTTGACCTTCGGTACGGTAATATAACGCGGGCGATAAAATAACGAGATAACGACAGTGGTTTTGTCGTGTCAGAACCATTAAGTGTCTTAATAGGTACACGGATCGTTTTTTTCCCCCAATAAATCGTGTATCTACTATAATCAGTTACACGATTTAGTCGCCTGTGATATCATGTAATAAACACAATATTATGATACCGACCATTGGGTCCTAACCAAAATCTCTCCAAAATGTGGATTGTGAAAAACGATGATTAAGATTCGATAAAAAAATAACTAGCAATAAAAAAATTCTTATCACCGTTACTTAACACTATAACTTTTGACTTATTAGGCTCATGTCTTTTTAGTTTTAGCGTAATTACTATTTTTAGAGTTTAATAGCAATATTTACTTACATTTTTTAGTTGGTAAGTGCTTCTTGGACAACAATCGACTTGGGCAGATTTTGAAACTAGTTGTACTACTTGCGACACTTAGACAGGCTTTTACTTTGACCGAAAAAACACAATGCAAACGTTTTTTCGCACTCTAGGTATTATGTTCGTTTATTTACATAACTGGTTCATTTTTTTTGTGATTTATCGTGTACGTACATTACTTCAGCAAGCGGAGTTTAGACTATAATATTCTACACAATACACTTTTTTTTTTAAAAATGTTATTATGGTTTTACAAAAACTGTTTCGGTGGTTACAAATATTGTAGAAAATGCCAATTATATTATGTAAACTATTTTGTATTAGCCAAGCACTAATTTTCATAATATAGCGTTTCTGCAACATACTAATAGTTCAGCAAAAGCAATAATTGATAACAAAGTACCTTATGCTAATATTATGTTTAATCTAAAACAATGACCAGTCCTTTGAGTTGTTAAAAGATCTAAGATAATAATAATAGTGATGGTAATTATGATAACAATAATGATAAAGACTTTAACTAAAACAAGTTAAAAGTTAAGAGCATCCACACTTCATGCAGATATACATCAATACATGGGTATGTCCTGCAATCTAGTATCTCTAATCTATTTTCTTTAATATCGACTTTTAAATCGATTTCACAAACTATAACTTTGAAGATTTATGTCTTAATACTGAATCACACGAATTTTTCTCATCTGTCATTATTCGAAATAGAAATTGTAAAATTTATAAAGCGACCTACATTTCATATACAAGCATTAAAAAAAATATCGGTTAAGTTTTAAGGTAAATCATTTTTTTTTTTTTACATTAAATTGTTTTTCATCGATAAAGGCATGAACAATGTCAAGGACAAAGTCTGTCATGAGTCGTTCAGTTTGACTTTTTTTCTATTTGCAATAAGTTTAAGTATAAAAATCCAGCACAGTAGGGTCGGGGCATAGCGCTACACGTTTTTATTTTGTCAGCAACTGCTTTACAGGCGACGACTAATCTTAGATATAAGTATACCGACAAAACAGAATTCTGTAAAATGGACAGTTCAATAAAATCAGGTTTGATATTTTGTAACATAAACAAATCAGTATATTTCTAAAAAGTTCATCCCTTCTCTCTCGGAATCGATTAAATGCCCTGAACATTTAATTATCGTATTTTTTTTGAAAATAGCCAAACTATATTTTTAGGGATTTATTTAAATGGAGTTCAAGTATTAATTTAAAATACTTTTCATTTAAATTAATATTTAATTCTGTATTTAGAATCAAAAAATAAATACAAATTTATTTATTATCATATGGACGTGGACAAAGTTTGTAAATTAATAGGTAATACTTACATTTATGTTAAAAAATGTGTACTTATAACAAATTATTTCTACGATAATTAAATAATATATTTGAAGCACTAAAAAAAGCTCACATCAGAATAAATCCAATACCTTCACTGCTGTCCAGTTGGTTCAGACTGTGCTGGTTTTAATATTTTGGAACTAGCACGTACCGACACCACCGCTTCATTAATCTTTTTCGGGGGTTGCCAGGAATATTTGTTGAGATTTTAGCAATAAGAGGATTAGGATGATGACTTGTTCGGTTTCTAAAGAATTTCTATTGTAGTTTGGCATTTTCAGTCTCAGCAGATAATTTTAGGTCTTTGTGAATAGAGTGGTTGGAGACGTAATATGTGGTATACAAATAATACGTAGGCTTTGTTTCTATTTTTGTTTCCTCTTGTATTTTATAGATAGTAACACTCGTCAACTTATGTATATGTATATTCTTTTCCAATTTCATATTTTATTACGTGTGTAGTGAAAAATAAAAAAATATATATTATAATACAATATGTAATGAACAGAATACATGTGCCAGTATTTTTTTAACATTATTATTAACATTATTGTTTTTAAATTGTAATTCTTATTAGTTACTCGTGTGGTAGACGCGTTTGCCAACGATTTTTTTTTTAAAAACAAATAAATAATTTATGAAACATGTTTTTAATTAAACAATTACGGTTTTGGATGATACACAAGAACTAAGAATAAGCTTACAAACGGCTAGTGCCGAAGCACGGTTAACAAAAATCAAAGAATAAGAATTAGAAATAGGGATTGTTAAAATTGCTGGTGGACGGTCCATCGTCTTCTTCCTCATCTGTAGAGTTATCGCTCTCGTCTGATGATTGTGCAATTGGTGGAATTCGAAGTCGTAACTGTTCCTCGAGGAACTGTTGTGTTTGGTCAATGTTAGATAAGCTTATTTCGGACCACGTGTTACCATTTTTTCTGTATCTCCTTTTGCCATTTCTTTTGTCCGTTAAGATACACGTACGGTCAGTTGTGTCAATCTCAATTTCTTTTATGTATGATTTTGGAAATTGCGTACTCAAGTATAGTCCTAGCAAACGACAATTCGCTAATAAAAAGGCATCATCGTCTACATGCTGCACGGCTTCGTCTAAATAAATTAACAAAAATAGTTTTTTAATTTGCTAAAATTGCCTTCAAAAAATAATATAATAAGCATGGTGTCCGTATTGTGCAGCCAGTTATTTCTATTACATAAAAATGTTAGTAGTTATAATTGTTTTGGTTATTTGTTATAAATTAAAATTAGTTCTATCCTTATTCCTATTGAATACCATTTAAAAAAATAATTATATATAAATATTGAAAGCGTTCAAAAACCATACAAATCCATAATAATAATTACCTAATATGCGACATCTGATTAGGTTTCTTAAAGCTGGAACAATATAGTTTCTTCGCTCGTCTCCAAGGTCTTTCAGTGTTCCCAAATCTATGAAAAAGATTATTAAATGAACGTGTTGCAAAGAAATAATAAAAATAAATAATATTTTAGTCGATCTTTATACATAGTTATTGCATTACATTTTATAGAATTGTGATACGTCCAACTTTTTGTGCAACCACTTATTAGTGATGATACTCAACAATATATGTATACTTTCTATACTTGAAATCCCAAAGAATTTTATACTCAGCAACATATTGTAGCCAACTTTAGGTCGATGAGGTGAAAACATTTTTATTTTTCTATTTATTTAAAATCATAACAATCAAAATACCTACGTAAATTGTTACCTAGTCTCACTTTCTGACTATCTCCTCTACAAAAAGTTGAATTTATTAAAATGTTTATCTGACATACAAAATTACATAAATAAGATAAAGCAAATATCAACTCTAAGACACGATTTTAAGGCTATTAACGACTATCGAAAAATTCGTAATTACTTAGGTTTTTATTAACTAGAGGCAATCTAAATCCTGTAACAAGTACATCAAACATCAAATCATTATGCAGTTAATAAATCCTGATAATTATATTTTATACATAACGTTTATTCTATAACAGTTTCATTTGATTAATATCATTTGATACAAAATATTATTATTAATTTTATACTTACCTAATATATCTTCTATTTCTTTTAGCATTATATGGTTGAAAAGCTTGGCTTCTAGATATAAAAATAAATTATCTTTAATATACTTACATATTTTTTATGATTGATACCGATAACTCATATTGGTATTTTTCAATAGGTACATGTGATTTTCATTGTTCTCAAAGTATTTATAAAATAAAATAAACAAGTATTAAGAACATAATATATATAAAATATAAAATGGGGTTTTTACTTTGCATTGGGGGAAGAGGCATATGTTCTGAAATTAAAACAAAAATATTGTGTGCATAAAGAATATTAAACAACAGCTGTGTGAAAACACCTCCATAATATGTATTATTACCCAGTATTCCGAAGACAATTTCCGGTTGGTCTGAAATTAACAACACATAAGTTAACGATATTCCATTTAATTTTCTATTCTATTATAAAAAGCAAGACAATTTTCAAGGTAGAAAAGACATGTGTATTAATATAAAGCGGAACAAACATGCTCCACTGTATATTCAATACGATGAAAGTCTCTTTGGGAAATTCTATAGGAATGAAATATTGGAAATATTTTCATAAAATACCACAAAAACTATTACCCGGTACAGCAATCAACAAATTCATTTTGCCTGAAATTGACATTACATTAACTAATTATATTGGATTTGATTTGCTATAGTAAATTATAACATTATTTAATATTATAAATTACAAGACGAAGGTCAAAGTAGAAAAAAACAATATTATATAGACTAGAGATTTTTTTATAAAATTTAATGGTTGTGTTAATGCAGTTGAGGAAATGTGAATAAAATATATTAAGCAGACGAGGTTGATAGTGCGAACATCGGTATTTTTTCATAAAGCTTCTATTTAGATTTTGGTAAAAAATATAATAATTATATTACTTATCAGTTGTATAAAGATAAATTTGTGATGTAGTTTTTATAATTTTTTCAAATAATTTTTTTTTAATTTTATCTTGATGTTTTTTTAATATTATTATAATTATGATTACAGAAGTTCTTGTAATTTTCCTCGTTATCATCAGTAACCATTGTTTCAATCAAATGCTCCAATCCATCTAGAATAAAAAAATGAATATTTGATCTTTACTAAAATATAAAAATTAAAATGTATTTCCGGATAACTTTAAATTAGCAATTAGCAAAAAAATTATTTAAGGGTGGTAATCGTAAAAAAATAAGTTACTATAGACCTATTTTTATGTTATCCAACTTGGCAAAAATATTATAAAAAATAATAAAATCAAGAATAATTTCTTCAATAAAAAAAAATTAAACTATCATCGAAAAATCAACTCGGCTTTTGACCAGACTTGGGTATTGAAGCTGCTCTATATAATGTAACGCAGATTTTTTATGAGAAATTAGATAATGGTAATAAAAAAATTGGATTTTTTTTAAATGTAGCAAAGGCTACATCTAAAAATAAATCACGTTATTCTATCACGTTTCTTGCCTAATTTGGAAACAAAGAACAAAAGATAACTTTGGTGATCGAGTTACCTTAATGCCAGAAAACATTCTGTCACTCTCAAAGTGAGAGATGCTTCTACCTCGATTAGATTATTAGAAATCAATAATTTATTTATTGAAGTGCTCTGTACACCGTTGTACATATCTGGTGAACTTTTCTTAACTATTAATAGAAACTATACTTTTTAATTGATTAATAACTTGAAAATTAGGTACATAAATCAAAGTTATATAATATATATAAGTATATTATTTTTAATATAATATCTTACTTGCTCCAGATCTACCTTCTACAGTTAAATCATTCTTTTCATAAACAAGTTTGATGGCTTCGGCTGTGATACATAATTTAAAAGATACGTATGAAAATAGGGAATTTTAAATACTTAAAACCATTTGCTTATAAATTAAAAAATGTTACCGACTTGTAATGTTAACATACTCCTTGTAAGTAGCTGTAAAGAAATGAAATATTGAATTTATTTCAAATTTGAACTACCCTAAGTTGATAACTACAAAATAAAAATAATTACCATAATCTGCCAAAACTTCCACAAAGAAAAAAGATATTAATAAACAGAAAAGTTTCATTTTATCTGCGAATAATAATTTAATAAATAAAAACATTTTATATTAGTCACAGTTGACTCCGGTTCAGAGATGAGAAGGTTATGGTTTTAACTACTTAAATTACATTGTATAAACATTGTTGTTACACTATTAAAAATAGAAATAATAATTTAGTAAATGTTATTATTACAGTTATATTTTATGAAATTACATTATAATACTCTTTTCAAGCGTCTAAACTTTATCACGCATGCAATGCTTCTTATTAAACATATGAACCCATAATGGATTTAAAACGAGACTATTCATAATTTAATACTGGAAAGAAGATTATATTTTAGAGACGTTGTCAAATCTGTTAAAAAAAAAAAAAATCCTTAGAAAGTTATAACCATTATAAAAAGTGTTGAAATATCTACTCAAGTGGTACAAAGTATTAAGTAAGCCTATACATAGCGACATGGGTATGGATTTTACTACACATTGTCGTGTCAACATTTTTGATAATCTCTAGATCGTGCCACACGCACCATATTTCATTTACAAAACAAGCGCTAGAGTACCTAATTTGGAGTAGCTACTCCAAATTAGGTACTCTTATTGACTCCCAGCCAATAGACATATCCTTGTCAAAAAAAGAATATTCAGCAAAATAATTTAGATTGAGTTGAAATTATATTCTATCAAAATCAATTATCATATATAAAAGTTGTATTTTTGTTGGCTTTTAATTTTTGCCTAATATTGAGTACAAATTGGTTTTGGACATTTTTTTTAAATCATGAAAAATAAAATTAAAAACTTAAACACATGTAAACACAATTTTCTTTTAATTTTGACTTAATTTCAAAGTGAATAATAACGTTTTTCTTCATTAGGGTGTTATGTTTTATTTTTGTTAATTATTTTTTTATTATCATTTTTTTTTTCAGTTATAACAAATAATTTTATATTGTGGAAATAATAATTTTTCAAAAAAACTTTAATATTTACTTTAAAAATTAAGTCGATGTAAAAATATACTGGTTTTTGCATGTTTTTAATTTTGGAATTTTATTTTTGTCGATTACAGAAAAATGTTGAAAATAAAAATCTGTACACGTATATTATGCAAAATTAAATTCCCTACATAGTTATATTTTTTTCATCTTGTACTGTTGAAACTGTTTGAGTTTTAATGGGAAATCTTAACCATTTTGCTGAATATTGCATTTTTGATTTGGGACTGACGAAATATATAATTTTTTTTTTATCTTAGTTTTATATGACGAGACCCTATTTTCGTGAGGTATTATTTAAACGATTTTTAAAAATGTCTTTTTTCACTACATGCTGTTTAGGACACAGCTAGCCTAATATTGAATAAACTAAAATATAGCATACTCTCTCTATAATGTGGTTTCTGCGAAATTATGTTAAGAATCGATAAAAAAATAACTAGCAATAAAAATCATTATTACTGTTATTAAACACTATAACTTTTGACTCATTAGGCTGATGTCTTTTTTTAGTTTTAGCGTAGCTACAGTTTTTATAGTTTAATAGAAATACTTACTTTAATTGTGGAGTTGGTAAGAGGTTCGTTGACAATAATCGACTTGATCAGCTTTTAAAACTAAATGTTCCCCTTGCAACTTATAGACGGGCTTATACTACGACCGAAAAATCACAATCCAAATAGGTTTTTGTAGTTTAAATTTTGTTTAACTATTTACACAACTGGTTCATTTTTTTTATGTTTACCGTGAACATACATTACTTTGGAGCGGATTCTAAACAATTTTTTTTTTGAAAATTGTATCATGGTTTTACACCCCTTCTCCCATGTACGAACTAGACGAATTTTTTTAATTACCGAGCTACTACTCGAAGGAATAAGTTTAGTATTAAAAAAATTGTAGTGTATACTGGCATAAAAAAAGCTCACATCATTGTAAAAACAATAGCATCGAAGCTAAAATTAATTTTTAAGCACATACTTAGCTTTGGTTTTTTATATATTTATTATGATATGATGAATATCCGATTAATCATCGACTTTAGAATATGGGACATTAATCTGGTCACCTTACACAGTAGTTGACAAACAACGAATTAATAAGGTACAAAACAGGTTTCTTAGTTTTGCTGGTTATTCCCGCACACCCGGTCCATGATTATGGTCCTATAAGTCAAGTACTCAACCATGAGCCTTTGGACCAACGACCCAAGAATTACGGGATTAATTTTATACATAAATTATTGAATGGTGATATTGATGCTCTGCGTTTACTGGAGCAACTCAATAATAATATTTTTTAATTTAGGTTTCAAATTTTAAAAGCCCATCTTAAGAAGTATCAGAGATATGAGAGTTAGCAATACCAGGTGAATTGGTTCGTGTAAAGGTATACTAGCATTGTTTGAACTTGGCCACTTCTCATACACAGTAGCACTATAAGATTTAATTTTAATGTCGGAGACTTAATTTTTTATTATTCATGTTTTGACATACATGATAAAGTTTTGACATGATAACGGCAGCCGCCGCCCGCCAGTGCTGTTCACTGCTATTGCCGCCTTAGATTCCTTTCCATGAGTGAGATAATGTATTATTTTCTTTTCCAGTTTCAAATTTAGTGTTCCAGTTGGCCGCTTACGATTTTATATTAAATGATTTTATTGAATCTGTCTTTTATTTTATATTATTGGCTAACTATTGTGAATTATTAGAACGAATTTTTAATCTATTTTTTTTTATTTAGTGAACGTTATATCGATAAACACAGGATCAATCGTACCATTTTTACTATCTAGTCAGCCAGAGAGGCTCGATCTATGTTAATATTAACTGTTCATTTTGTATTATTGTGATTTATTACTTATTGGTCTAATAACACATTTTAGATAACATAAAATCAATATACACTTTAACTTACCAGCTCACACAACGTTACCTATTAATTCCTAGTTATTGTCGTATATTTTATAATTATTAACAAATTTCTAAACACGTTGAAATAGAAATTATGTTTGTATACCCACATTGAGCATTCTTCAATCAAAATACTTTTTGTTTACCGATATTATTTTCAATAAATGGCCAAAAAATAAATAATTATGTACACTACCGCTCTTGATGGGGAGCTTTTATAGTGGGCCAAAATGTTTGTTTTTTGAGGCTGGTGTATATTTTTTAATAATTATTATTTCGGTTCTATGGGACTGATGCAATGACTGGAGTTATATTATACTTGGTAGAATTCGGGAAAGAATTCAAACGCCTTTTTACGATATTTATATGTATATACATAATATCGAGTGCTTTTATACTGAAGACTACAAAAATATTGACACATTTCCTAGCTTAGGTATGAAACTTAGTTAAGCTGTTTATTGAACACATTTTAAAGCGGTTAACGTCGTGTAGGTAAATTGTTCAAACGACTCATAATCAGTTTTGAAAACTATAACTGTGAAATAATTGCGTTCAAAACCCTGTTTGAAAAACTCGAAAGCCTAAAACATAGATTAGATCAATCATCGAAGGCGATATTTTCCATAAAAATTTTGTGGAAATCACGAATTACCTTTCCGTGGATACTATGAAACAATTTCATCAACAAATTAAGGTGTTTTCATGGTTTGATTAGCCTATGTTCAGATTTAGACCCAAGCTTACAGGAACATTTTTAGAAGACATCATTTTAAAAGGTACTTCTAAAACCATACAAATGCGTTCGTTTGTATAAGACCTTGAAGTTTTATTATGTTAAACATGTTCGATATAGACACAAATGTGTTGTGTACCTTTAAGCAGAATTAAAAGAAATGAGAAAATTTAAAATACATTTATTTTAATTACGTATATAATATACAAAATTATTATTTATATAATAATAAAAAAACTTTAAATTATTATGAAAACATTAATTATTATTATTATTATTTTATTTATTTTTTAAAACCTTTTGAAAATCTTACATAGCTTTATCGTTACTTTTCTAAATAAGTGTATATCCTTTTTCTTAAACGGAAACGAAATGAAACCACGTTTTAAAATGTGTTATTTATTGAAATTAGAAGAAAACGTATTTTGATGTGTTGTTTTTTATGCTTGTTCAAACAGTTACAGCCATACACCAATGTACTAAATAAGAAACTATTCGAAAAAAAAAATACTCTTTTGAATCGACCTAGTTATATTATTTGAAGTCTCCAACGTCAAAACGATTTTGATTATTATGATATTTTGGGTCCATTCGTTTTTTACTTAAGAAATTAAAATTGTAGGATATTTAGTTTTATAAATATATAGAAAAAAAATATATTTTAAGACTTCCAGAATACATTCCATCTCTCATGGAATATGCTTTATACGATAATATAAATGTTTGGATAATAAGATGGATTATACAAATATTATGATATAACTACAAAATAAAGCTAACCATTTGACAGCAGGTTCAATCTTTAAGTTGTATTTCCTCAAAACTTTATTTTTTGAGTGAGGCAGTCTTGTTTCAAGACATGATCTGACCGCACGGCAATGAGCCAGGCCAAGTTCCAGCAATCCCGTTACAATTCATCCAGTTTTTCTAACCCACATATCTCTGTTTCCTATTAAGATAAGATTTTGAAATTTGAAACACAAATTAAGCTCGAGTAGCTTAGGATTCTGTAAAAAATGGAGCTCTTAATATTAAGCCTTTTAAAAAGGGGAAAGTTTTCATTTTTGTTACTGACCACAAAAACTTCCCGTACAGGTAGAAACGTGAAATTTGGCACCAAGGCAGGTCTTTAATTGTAACTTAAGGGAAAAATCTGAACGTTGCAATTATCTCAAAATTAACGCCGATTTAGGGAGTGCAATTCTAAATGCATGAAGTGACGCAACTGAATATTACTTGATTAAATTAGCACGGTAAAGTTTTAAGTTAAAAGATAAACGTAAATATATGTATATATATATTTTTTTTTATTTATTTAAGTATTTTTCTTCGACAAAGGCATAAACAACTTCGGGGGCAAAGTCAGCTAGGAGTCGTTTGGTTTGTATTTTTCTATGTGCACTAATATTGAGTGTAAAAAGCCAGCACAGTGGGTTCGGGGCACGCGTTTTTATTTTTTGAACAACTGTTATATGAATTTAAGGTAAATAGACGCAAAACAAATTTTACTAACCGTGTGTGGTTTATACACTTTCCCTTCTTACGTATTACACCAGCGCATTTCATACAACGACAATTCAAAGTACAAAATAAAACCCAATACATTATCATTGTAAATATCTTGCAAATTCTTATGTGTACCTAGCAGCGAATGCACATTGTGTGTGCAACAAATAGGTTATGAATTCTGTTACTCACTAAGTCACAAAGTCTGTTACTCACAAATAAAACCATATAAGACATTGTGTGTACAATCAAACGACAAAGGTTTATTAAATTCTGTCACTCACAGTGTTTATTGTAAGTCAATAAAACCATAAAAGACACGACAAATGTACTTATTTTACGGTTAATTCGTTATTTTTACTTCAACCCCAACAGTCGTTCTATTCTACACGTACTTCGTTGAATTTAAACTTAAAAAACTATTATGCATTTCAAGAGTGCTGTTATTCTTTGTGCCGTGAATTTCATTTCATCAGTTTGGGTAAGATACTTATTTCTCTAAAATAATTGTAGATATATTTATACTTATACAAGCTAATTTTTATAATATATCTCTGTCACATAAGCGTTAAACCCTCATGACCTTAAGTTTTCAAAAGGTAACGGTATCTGTGTGATTGACATTTTAATTTAACAAATATTTGCAAAAAATCTTGACTGGTCAATAACCAATTTTAAACAATGACGGGAGCACAGTTTGCCGGGCGAGCAACAATCCGGTGAAAAGAAACCGCCATGCCCCTCTTCGGCGACGGATTGACGGCCCATTACGGATAGCGAATTCCCGTTAAGCTACATGATGATGATTGTGTATGATAAATTTTTTTCAAAAAATATAACAAGAAAAATTTAACAGTTTTCGCAGAAAATTCTTATGTAAAAGTCTTACGGCAAAAGCATCACCCTATATTACGTGTTAAGCTCTAAGTCATTACACTTTATTTCAGAGCACTGGACTAAATAAGGACCAAATAGAAATATGTATTCGTATGAGTGACCCTAGTAATCCTGATATATTACACTATATTAGGATTATTAAAGACCTGATGAAATCCGGTTTTGGAATTGAAAAACCTGAAGAAATTTTTCAACACGACCCAAGTAACATATTATTTAAATAGCTGTTTCATTAATTTAATCTATAGAAATTAATGTTGCGTTATTGCTTTAATAGGTTTAGGCTTGGCTAATCATATACTATTAAACCAATAGATATTATTTATAATTTGTATTAGTTTTAACAACATACTTAACCGATTAAGTTCTTATTACTAACATTATAATGAATTGTAGTGTACTTTTTTTTAAAATATTTTTTAAACCATTAATTTGGTTGTAAATTAATGATGAAAGAAAGTGGAAAAGATAGGGTTACTTTTTAAAAAAATATTTAGTAAAGTTAGAAATTTACCATACATAGTACTCGATTGAGTAACTACTTAATGGGTCTAAATAATTGCATTTGTTAAGCCTAAATCATTGAATTTAATGTATATATAAATCTCAAACTTGTCAAGCTTTG